TTTTTTTTTTTTTTTTTTTTTTTTTGGGGGGGGGGGGTGGTGAAAGAAACAAACGCAACTCTATGCATGCATCATGTGCTCTATAGAGCACTGTGATTTGATAGGCAGATTTTTGTGCATTACAAAAGTACAAATGTAACCTAAACAAGTTTATGCCATCAATGAAATGAAGATGTGAATTGGGGGCATTAAATTCTTAAATTAAGGGGCTTGAAGAGCTGTATCTGTAGGAAATAAAAATATTTAAAAATTCTCTTACTGTTAGCTGTTGGATGAAACGAAGTGTTTTGGGTGTTATATGTGATAGTGACACAAAAGTGCTGTTGCCACTCAAACTTAAAGGGTGACATAGTGGCTCTCATGTAGTGGGATATGGGAATGGTGGATGTAAATTGCGTTAACTACTGCAAGTGAAGAGGCTGTTTCTAGAAATAGAACCCATTTCTCTTGTTTACACTGAAGCGACCTTCCTGTTTTTCAAGGGCTCATCCTCCAGGCACCATTCAAATTTAAAGGAAACTTTTGTTGCATGGCTATAAGACCTTCAATGATGTACGGAATTGAATGTTGATGGTGAAAAGCCGACAAGAGAATAAACTCAATCTAGTAAATATGAGAATATTGCATTGGATGAGTGAATATGTTAGACAGGATAAGATTAAGAATGAATGATTCATTCAAGAAAAAGTTAGGGTAGTAACTATGTTAGTAAATATGGTAGAAACACAGCTTAGGTGACTTGGGCATTGGTGGTGAAGACTTATAAAAGCGTTAGTAAGGACAGTAGATCAAATTGACGGTAGGTTAATCACTAAAGGTAGAGGGATAGTTAGAAAATTATAGTCAGAACTCATAACAAATGATTTATGATAGAATATTGTGGTATCTTCTGATCCATGTAGTTGACTCTGCCTAGTAGAAAAAAGGCTTGGTTCTTGGTAAGTGTTGGGGTAATTGCTAATACACCAGAAGTGCATATTTTACACATTTTAGCTCCTTTTAGCAGAATGCCTTGGCTTTGATAGTTTATATTTCCTACTCAATGAGGAGAGGTTGTCCCATCCTTCATTATAGGCTAGGCATTAGCAACTGTAGCTTTCATGACCTTCACTGTATATTATTTTGTTGTCACATGTTTACTCAGTTCTGAAATGTTGAGGAACTGCAAATATATTCCCTAAATCAACAGGTTGAATGCTAATTAGGGTTTATGCAGGAAAATTGTATGATATCTGCTTTGTGATCTCCGTGATAGTGTGATATAATAAAGAACTCTTAGAATTATCAACAAATCGTAGCTTATTATTTTAGAATTATCTTCATGTCACTTATTTTTTCTAATTCCCTTAAATTTTTATTATCTTCGCATTGGCTGGTAAGGTAAGTATGAATAGCAATTGTTTCTTAAAGCACCTAGATTTTAAGAATATCTGTATTGCATGGGGATCAGTGATCACTACCCTTGGGATCTTGAGTGATGAATTGTAGTTACTTCAACATTTGAAAATTTTGCTGAAGCTGCTGAGTTAACCCTGTGCTGTCATTGACCAGTTCATCTGATTCTGCATTTGGGATGGACATGATCAAGAGAATGCTTCAGCAGACAGGGCATCCAACAATGCTAAGTTGATTGTCAGAGTTTGTAAAGTGGTCCTAGGTTAATGCATTCTTGTTCATATGTTTAGGCTGGAAATATGATGCTGATTAAAGCTAAGTCAAGGTTCAATCTCTGTAAATAAAGTAGAATCTATAGGTGCAAAGTAACTTGTTTATCTTTTCAAGTATACTCCCTTATTTAATCTCTCGTTTCATATCTTGTATTTCTTTTGTTCATCTTCTCTCTAGAGTTTACGATTGGCCTTTTCAATTGTCACATGAACATCTTAGACCACATACTACGCAAGGTTGTATCAATATGATTGGTTTGCCCGTTATTGGAAGATGAATACTTTTGTGCATTGTTTTGTATTTTCCACTTCAGTTATTATAGTTCTTAATCATTTGCTTTCAAGTATTCATTTGCATCTATCCACTAGCGTAATTCTAAGCTATTGCTTTATGAGTCTCTGTTTGAGCTTTCCGATCAATAGATTATATAGGTGTCAGGCTTTGTAAACGTGACCCGGAAAAGATTTGGGCCAAATTGGCCCGTCCGGCTGGCCAACCGGGCTACTAATTTCTTTGCCCAAAACTTACCGGACTTATTTGACAAGGTATTTTTTTTCCTTTTTAAAATTTAAAGATCAATGAAAAAGTATAATAAAATGGGTCAAAATGGTCTTGACCCGACAGGCAACAGGCAAGGCTGGGCCACAAAATAAATCTGTGAAAAAATTGGAGTTCATGATATATACGCTTCCTGTTTTTTAAGTACACCTCCTTTTCTTTCTTTCTTTTTTTTTTTTTAAAATAAATTTCTAAAATATGTTTAATTTTTTTTCATTTTCTAATTTTGTAATGTTGCACCTCCAAGTTCAATTAAGTACTTTTTCCTTCTTTTTCACATACCTCTTTTCTTTTCTCCTTTCAATTTTTACATAGATTCCTTTATCTTCTTTTTACTCCTTATTTTAGTAGGTAGTTTGAAATCTTTTAATTTATACATTATTATCTTCCCCTTTTCCTTTTAGTTTTCACATTGTTATTCTCTTTCTTCTTTTAATTTTTACATGCACTCGGGATATAGAATTAGTGCGCAATGACATTTAAGGTGTGTAACTTTCTCTATAGGATCAAAGAAATGTAATGATTAGATGTGCACTTTTTTCTAACACTTCATATCCTTTTGCACTTTTAGAAATCTCAACATTAAATTTAATCAACATTAATTTTAGCATTGTGAGAACTTTTTACACTTCCAAGAATTTCAATATTAAATTTAGTCAAGATTAATTTTAGTATTATGAAATATATTTTCCAAAATAGTAAAATTAGTGTTCTGAAAAATATTTTTCAAAATTGTGATTTTTACATCCGAAAAGTATTTTTTGAAACACTAAATTTACGTTTCGAAAATAATTTTTCAAATTATGTAAGATAATACACTTTCGAAAAATACATTTCAGTACACTAACTTTACTATTTCAAAAAATACTTTTCGATATACTAAAGTTAATGTTACTTTTTAAAAGTGTGTTGTCTTATATAATTCTAGAAACTTCTTTTTGGGACAATAAATTTAGTATTTCGGAAAATATTTTTAAAAGTATATAAAAAGCAAGATTCTGGAAAATGCTTTCTAAAATACTAATTTTACTATTCTAGAAAGAACTTTTTGGAACACTAAAATTAATGTTCTAAAAATTAGTTTTAGAACATTAAATTTAATGTTGAGGTTTCGGTGTGTGGAAGGTGAGAAAATATTTGAAAGAAAAATGTGTCTAGCTCGTCATCTTCGACATTGTTGAAAAAATCACATGTAACTATAACTTTATTGAGCATTAGTTCTACAGTTCAGGTGCATGTGAAAACTAAAAGAGGAAAAACAGGAAGAGAGTAGTGTGAAAATAAATACTCTGAAAGAGTCCAAATTTAGCATTCCAATAGCTTTATGTGATGAAGGAAAGGTCCCAGGATTCACTTTAGAAAATAAATTATGAACAAATATTATTAAAAAAAGAGTAAATGAGATGATAAGCATTTCATAATTTATTAAAAATACTGATTATTTATTTTAATTTATTCCTTTTTCCATTACTTTAAATTAAATTTTAATATTTTTAATAAAATATCAAATAATTAAGAACAACCTTATATCCTTAACAAAGACTAACTATTTACAAAGTAGATGGATACTTTGCATCAGGAATATGATAATTGAATATATATATATATATATATATATATATATATATATATATCACTTTTAAATATTTGATAATTTTTTATAAAAATATTAAAATTTATATAAAATAAAGATGAAAAAATAATTAAAAGAAATAATCAATTAACAAAATTAAATATATAAGACTAGTAACAACTCTTAAATTCTCTTCCATTTAAAAAAATATTTCAAAATACTTTTGTGAAAAGAAATTTTTTCTATAAACATCATTATAAAATACAATCAACTCTTACATATTAAATATAAATGATTATCTTGTATAAGAACATTTTTATGTTTGTAACGACCCACCATGGTCCCTACATTTAGTAGAATCGCACTACTACTAATGAACTAAGAGAATATAGAAATTGGTTGACTCATACATACAGGTATGTAAATATAAATATAATAAATACGTTTCTATGTACAAAATATGGCACCATATATGTATAGTCATCCCAAATTCATAACATCCTAGTGTCGGTCATGCACACACAACAGTTACCCACGAAGGTAACTCTGACACTAGGACAAAACTCCTCATCGCGCAACAGTCACATCAATTTCAAGCTAGTCCTGACCTGCTCCTATACCAGGTATGATCATCGCAGTCCATTCACATGGAAACAGAAGGGTAAGCTAGAGTTCAAAAAGCAGTCATACAAGTACATAATAATGTCTATACTACACATGCATCCAAATCAAGTCCCAAAGGAACTTCCATCTCAATCAATTATCAACTCATCTAACATGAAGTCAAACACGGTACACTTCATCATCATAGCAGTCATGCAATACATGCAACTCATGACAGATATTAATGCATATCAATCATCTAATGTGTCGTCACGCATATACCAAGGAGATCTCCTTAACAGCAAAGCAATATAAGTTACATCCCAATCCTATCGAAACCACCCTAACCGTTTTTACGCCCAATGTGCCCGCTCGGTCACAGCTAAACAGGATATAAATCCTCACTCGGGTTTACTCGGATGATGTCACTTACACAATTGGAAGTCCGGTTCCACCATTAGGTATAGCACAATTGGGTACAGGCTTACCACGACCTTGACATGCATTACCAAGTCACTTGTGGAGTTCGCCCACCGACTATCCGCAAGGAACCACGCACCTTTCCCAGTACTTGGTTAAGGGAATAACCCTCGACCTCATACTCCGCTCCAACACTAACTAAGGACTTAGAGAAAACTCACCCAAACTAGTGGCCTATCTAAGCACCACTCTCATTTCTATCAGTAGTCTATCCAAGCACCACTCTCAAGAGACTCTATGTGAGCTCTTCCAGTTCGAAAATATTTCCCTCTCCTCAAGTCCTAGACTAGACACATGCCATAAGGCATCACATGCAATAATGCATCATACATCATACATGGTCTATCTACCATCATGATCAATATCATCCACATATGAACATATAAACATGTCATATCATATTTAAACATTCATATATATCATTACCAAGCATACATATGAATCACACCTCACCATACATCATATATCATACATACATGATCCAAAACTTCAACTTTAAACATGTATAAGCATCAATTTCAATCCAAAAACATCAAACCCACTCACGTCCAACCTAACATCCAACCCGAGAGCCCTAAGCTCTTTCGTGCTCGGCGCGCTCAACTTGCGCCTGGCCTAATCCCAGCCAGAGAGTTCTAAAACTCATCCACGCCTGGCGGGAAGTTCCCACGCCCAGCGTACTTGAGACAGAGACTCATAAGAGTCTTCGCGCCCGGCGCACCCAACCTGCGCTCGATGCCAACCCAGACAAAGACCTACAAAGGTCTCCACGCCCGGCGTGTCAACCTTGCGCCCGACACCACATCAGTAAACTCCTCACTTAGCCACCATCTGATATCACGCCCGACGTGGTTCCTCTCATGCCCGGCACGGACCCATTGAGAGACCTCCATTTCAATTCATGCCTAGCGCGACTAGCCTTGCATCCGGCGTGAGTTTGAAATGGTTGCCTCTGATGAAGGCACGCCTGGCACCAAGAACTGCACCTGGTGCAAATCCAAACAACAACCTCCAAAACTTCAAAAATTTCCTCCAACACCTGAAAATCAGAAAAATCCAACCACATGCAAACCAAGAAATACAATGCATGGGCTCCGTACAACTCGAAAAAAACCATGGATCCAACATGCATCTAACATATGCATCAAAATCATCAAAAACCCTCATTTTTCCCAAAACCCCGAAAATGAGAAGTTTCTCCAATCCAACCATGGATTTTCTAAATTCATGCATCAATTAAGTTCCTAAACTCACATGCAACAAAACAACATACATTCTAGCTTCTCTCACCTGAAGATTGGCTCAAAAAGCCAAGAATTGAGAAGAAGCAAAGAAAATCCTCCAGAGCTCAACTCAGGAACTTCAATCCTCCAAAAACAAGCTTTCTAGTCTACAATTCAAGAGAAGATAGAAGAGATTATTAACCTAGAAGAGAAGAGGAATCAGACAGAAAATTTGGGAGAGAAAGGAGCTCATGGACCAGAGTCCTTCTCTCTAGGTTTTTCCTTGAGAATGAACTTATGAAGTTTCCTTATCAGAGAAACCCTTATATACCCCTCTCTAGAGTCAACTAAACCCTGAAATCTACCCACTACGTTACAATATATTTGATGAGAGGATTTTTATGGATTCTTATAACCTTTTTAACTAATTCAATTTTTTTATTTATAATATTTATTTTTGAATTACATTTTAATATTTTAAAATAAATAAATAATAATTAATAAATCTTGTGTCACAATATAAAATATTTATCTTAAACCTAAAATATAATTTATATACTTAAAATATTTATTTATAAAATTTTTAAATATAATTTGTATATTTAAATATAATATTTATTTTTATATATAATTATTGTAAATTTCAATTATATATAATATATTTAGTTTGTGAATCACAAAATAAAATCCTAGTATGTATATAAATTGGCAAATATCTTTTATTATTCAATAGTGGAAAAAAATCACTATGTGCCTCCGTTAAAAAAGAAAGAAGATAATAAATTAATCCTAATAATTTGTACAGTTATTAGAGGTTATATATAATTAATAAGGACAAAATATAAAAGATAAA